TTTGGAAGCCTGGAGGCTTTGGGGAATCTGGGGTTATGTTCACACAAAGGTAGGTGAAAGAGTCATAGTGTTATTCATCATCCTTACTGTCTCAGTTAACAGCGGGAATCCAATTGGCGGGCTGAGGAGCAGCTCAATCATCTTAGCGTAAATTTTGATGAAATATGTTCAGCCTTTGGTATGCAATACCACAAATGGTCTGAATCTTCAGTTGCCAGGGTGGAAAGTCCATACTTCTTGCAGAAGTTGTAAAGTGTGGGTGTGGGTCTGTGCATGCATGTGCATGTGTGATGTACAAGGACAAGGGAAGAAACTAGTACCTAGTTTTGGCTTTCACCTTTTTTTTTAAACTATTACCTAGTTAATATTTTGTGTTTTTCTCAACTGATAATAATATTGCCTATATAATATTTAAAACTGGTTAAATTACCCATCTTGTCTCAGCTCCATCCTGTCCACTCTTCCCAATGGATAGAGATATTTATGATCTTGTTCTTTCATTTTCTCACTAGGTGACCTTGAGAAAATTATGTAGACTTGTTTAGTATACCTTTCCACTTCTGGAAATATGATAATGACACTCATATCACCTGGATTTTAAAGTATGGAAGTAATTATTATATGTGAAAAGTTTTAGTATAAAGTATGGAATATAGCAGACATGCTGTATGTTATCTATTATATAATAGTATATATTATATAATGCATCTACTATCTAATCTACCTACCTATCTACTCACCTATCTATATTTCATTTCTTTCTAATGGCCCCAGGAAACAGGTTTCAAAATTTGCAGTTATCAAATTAGTGGACTCACAGAACCAGTTTTGTAAAAAAATGTATATGTTGACAATATCGGCTTCACAATAAACTAAATACAATTTAAGGCATTTAAGCCTTTTTACAGATGCCAGAACACATTAATTGCCTTATTTAAAAAAACAGAAAACCAGAAACAAAAACAACCTAGGAGTAGTGTCATGGATTGAATTATGTCCCCCAAAAATGTGTGTATCAATTTGGCTGGGCCATGATTCCCAGTATTACATGATTGTCCTCCATTTTGTGATTGTAATTTTATGTTAAAGAGGATTAGGGTGGGATTGTTAACACCCTTACTAAGATCACATCCCTGCTCCAATGTAAAGGGAGTTTCCCTGGGGTGTGGCCTGCACCATGTTTTATCTTATAAGAGATGAAAGGGAAGCAAGCAGAGAGGGATGGAACTTATACCACCAAGAAAACAGAGTGCATCTTTTGAACCTGAGGTTTCTGCACTGAGATACCTCAGACCTAGGGAAGACTAATGACAAGGACATTTCCTCTGGAGCTGACAGAGAGAGAAACCATTCCCATGGAGCTGATGCCCCGAATTTAGACTTGTAGCATGCTAGACTATGGGAGAATAAATTTCTCTTTGTTAAAGCCATCCACTTGTGGCATTTCTGTTACAGCAGCACTAGATGACTAAGACAGAATTTGGTACCAGGAGTGGGGTGCTAGTCTATAAGAGACCTAAACTGTGGAAGTGGTTTTGAAACTGTGAATGGATAGAAGAGCAGCAGCAGCAAAGGACCAGCAGCAGCAAAGGACCAGCAGCAACAAAGAACCTGCAGTGGCAGAGAACCAGCAGTAGCAGAACCAGAAGACCAGCACAAGATGGCACTGGAGCCAACCTGTGAAGTGAGAGAGCTAAGTGCCTGTGCTCAGGAGGCTTCCTGGCGGAGTGGAGTGCCTCCAGGCACCTATCAGTGGAGCTAGGCTTACTGACCTACAGAGTGAGAGAGCTGAGTGTCTGTACACAGGAGGCTTTTTGGTGGAGTAGGGTGCCTCCGGGCACTTACTGGTAGAGCTACAGAGTTTTGGAATACTTGCCCCAGCAGGGCAGATACAGGTGTGAGGCCCTAGGGCCAAGAGGCCACAGGAAGCAGAAGCTGAAGAGACAAGGAACACAAGAAGCCAAGCTGCCTCAGTCTCAAAAGGTATGGCCAGGACCTCAGGGGTTTCAAAGGGTGGAGCCATGGCCTCTGGTGTTTTTAAGGGTGGAGTCACCACTCAGATGGACTAGGAGAATGGTGTGCCTAAAGCCAAGGAAGCAGAGTTGCTGTTCCAGTGGGCCTGGAAGGCAGAGCTGAAGCTCAGGGCCGAGGGGCCTCCACTTAGAATCTGGAGAGTGTGGCCGATATCTAGAGTCTGAAGGGCAGGGCCATTGTGTAAATTGTCTCAGGGAATAGAGATTTATTTTCAAAGCCTTGAGGGCTAATGTAATGTGTTCTGCTGACTTGCTTGGTGCCTGTTATCCCTTCTTTTCCTCTAGTTTCTCCCATTTGTAATGGAAATGTCTAGCTTGTGCCTGTTCTGCCATTGTACCTTTGGAAGCAGATAACTTGCATTCTAGATTTCACAGATGAAGAGGAATTTTTGGATTTTGGACTTGGAGTTAAGACTTTGCTATAATGTAATGGGGTGAATATGTTTTGCATGTTGCAAGGATGTGATTTTTGGGGGGCCAAAGGGTGGAATGTCATGGATTGAATTATATCCCCCCAAAAATGTGTGTATCAATTTGGCTGGGCCATGATTCCCAGTATTATGTGATTGTCCTCCATTTTGTGATTGTAATTTTATGTTAAAGAGGATTAGGGTAGGATTGTAACACCCTTACAAAGGTCACATCCCTGATCCAATGTAAAGGGAGTTTCCCTGGGGTGTGGCCTGAACCACCGTTTATTTTATAAGAGATAAAAGGAAAGGGAAGTGAGCAGAGAGACGGGGACTTCATACCACTAAGAAAGCAGTGCCAGGAGCAGAGTGTGTCCTTTGGACCTGAGCTTCCTGCTCTGAGATGCTCCCAGACCAAGGGAAGACTGATTACAAGGACTTTCCTCCCGAACTGACAGAGAGAGAAAGCCTTCCCCTGGAGCTGATGCCTTGAATTTGGACTTGTAGCATACTAGACTGTAAGAGAATAAATTTCTCTTTGTTAAAGCCATCCATTTGTGGTATTTCTGTTACAGCAGCACTAGATGACTAAAACAAGTAGATAGCTGAAATTTTTCAAACAAAATATGAGATTATAGAATTTTACTTCCTTGCAGTTAAAACCACTTGAGTTGTTTTTACTATCCTTTTACAACAAGGCAAATTTAATTGCACTTGGTTAGTCTCTGTTATGGATTGAATTGGGTCCCCCAAAAATTTATGTTGAAGCCCTAAACCTTGTACCTGTAAATATGACCCTGTTTCAAAACAGGAGTTTTCTTTTGTTATGTTAATGATGCCATGCCAGAGTAAGGTGGGTCCTAAATATAATAACTTCTGAGTGATGCCTTATAAGGGAAAGCACAGACACACGCGCACACACACACACACACACACACACACACAAGGGGAAGAGACCATGTGAGGAATTATCTACAAGCCAAGGAATTTCAAGAAACACTTGGGGCTACTCTAAAGAAGAGACTCTCCTTTAGACTGCTACCCTGATTGAGACTTCCAGTTTCCAAAACTGAGACAATATATTACTTTTCTTTAAAGCCACTCATTTGTGGTATTTTTTGTTATGCAGCACTAGCAAATTAAGACAATATCCATCTTTTTTTCTTGATATCCTTCTAAGTTTAATCAATCCCTTTGTTAGAAAAAGTGAGGCCTTTCTATAATTTCTTAAATTATTTAGAGTAATATAATTTTATGCTTATGAATCACCTTAAAATTCCCTGAGTTATTTTCAAGAATATTATTTGCTTGTTCTTTTCAACAGTTTCATGACAAAATTAAGGCATTTGTTCTAACATTAATTTTTTTAAATTGGAGTACATTGGTGGTTTTGAAGATTAAGTAACTTTCAACAGACCTGAGTTTAAAAAATAGTGTATTCAAATAATTTTTAAAAAGAAAAACACTTATAATTTGGTTTGTTTTCTTAAAATATCTAGGTCTAAGAATTCTTATAAACACAAGGTAATGGAAATTTTGGAGGAAAAAGTCCTATAAATACAGCCGATGAGATCACAAAATAAAATAGACAAGGAATCTAGCAGACCTCTCATTTTCTAAAAGCATGCAATAGGAACTGACAATGAATGATTTATCAAACCAGACCTTTGGGAGATTATAACTTTGAATAGCTTTCAGCTTTGAAAAACTATTGCTAGCATGCAATGACAGAGTGAAAGATTACTGCCTGGTGATATTTTTAGTATGCATTTATTTTTTTCTTTGTTCTTTTATGCTTTTGGCGTTAAGCTATAGAATAATATCCCCAAGTAGAGTTTTGAGTGAATTCCTAAATGAAATCTACAAAATAAGAAACAGGCAAGATATTGTTGATTGGTTCCAGACCTGAATAGTATATAAAGACTTCTGTCAACATGAGAAGTTAACTGAAAATGTTGATATTTATCAAATGTATCAATGTGTGTATGAAACATTTTTTACATTTTCGAAGCTAATATATGTTATCTTTGTTGCCAAGAATTGTCAGTCCAAGTAAATCAATACAGATTCCAAGAGTGATGGGTACAGGGATTCAATTTCTTTTATTCTCTTACTTGCAATTTTCCTGAAATTATTTGTTCTGTGTATGATATATGAAAACTTTAGATGAACACGATATTTGTCTGAGAGAATCCTACTTAATTGTTGCCACAACCAGAGGAGTAAAGAGAATTCAGTTTGTAAGAGAAATGTTTTCACTGTCAATTGCCTCATTTGCAGCAGGACTCAGTTTGTGGTTAAAAGCTATGGTATTTGAGCTGGTTAAGCACGTATCTCTCCTCCATTCCATAGGGAATGAGCTGGGCTGTCCTTTCTTTCCACGTCCACCTGCACTTCGTTAGAGATCCGAGCTTTTACATGCCACACCACAAGATCCGCACAATGAAATAACTCCATTCAGAGACTGGCGTGACTGGGCTGGGCCCCCACACCCTCCTCTCGGCTCTTGTATCACTAAGAATCTGGCAGCCAGTTCTGTCCTGACAGAGTTTACGGCATATATTGGTGGATTCTTGTCCTTAGAGCATCTGCTTTAGGAATTAACGAAAGCAGTGTCAAGACAGCAAGGTAAGTGCTGTTTTAACTATAGCACTGGGGATGCTGACTGTTTGGGACAGTATTTATTGTAACAGGAACAGAAAAAATTCCAGAGCAACTTTGCCAATTGCTATTCAACAGCGAATCCACAGTTTTGAGCATTTACTTTCACATTTTGCTTAATAAGCTTGCCATGTTTTACACATTTGAGAGAAGTTTTAGAAAATGTAAGCTGTATTTCTTGGCAAAGGAAGTTATAAAAAGCCTCAAGGTGGGAATGAGAAAAATATATAGACACATGGAAAAAGAATGTAAATTAAAATGCTAGTTTATGTTACTTTGCTATATATGTTAGTATTGTTAGAACCTCATTGAGCAGTAGAGAAAGGAAGATTTAATTAGTCTTCAGAATATTTTGCAATAAATGTATTATTGTTACAGTTGACAATGAAAATTTTATGTTGTTATAGAATATAAGCTAAAGGCTTAGACACTTATGGCTTGCTGATTTCTATTTTGTTAGTATTTTAAAGATTTGGTTTTTGAATGTTTATGTCTTAAGAAAAAGGTTTTAAAGAAATTCTGGGAAATAGGATTTCCTTTTTGAAAATAGCATTTCCTATAGCCATAGGTATTTGAAAACACTGGGGTTGGGGGGAAAGTACAGTGTGCTTTTACTTCCTAGTGGAGTCATTATATGGTTACAAACTCTTCTTTGAATTCAGAGCTCTCATTTGTACTCTGCCAAAAAGTATGGATGCATTTTTTCATTACTGTTCAATAGTCGCGTTTTAGTTATCATAACTGTTTTGGTGAACATCGAATTTAAAATAAGGTGGAAACTTATTAATGCAACAAGGCAAATCTATAAGGTACTGACATCCTATAACGTATAAAGAATTCTAGGAACATGTCTTCATAGTCTTTCTGGAGCTATTCAGTTGTTGTCATGGTCAAGTCTTGTTGACTAAGTAAATAACCTCCATCATCATCTTAAGGAGTAACTTCCTAAGAATCTGGCTATATATATTATATTGTGTCAGCAGTATGAGCATCTCTAATAACTTTTCTGAGTATTTAATCTGCTGAAATAAAGTACTTTATAATGCCAAGTGAAAACACAGAAAAGAAGTTTAAAATTCCTAAAAACAAAAATCCTACTTAACTAAAGCTACATAGATCCAAAAGAATGTATCATACTTCTCACAGGAAGATGTAATATTCTATGATGTCTGTTAGAATATGGATTCTTCTTCACATGAATTATTTCCCTCCTAGAGTTACCACCTTGTCCTCGACCATAACTCTTCATTCTACAAAATCCAACTCTTATGCCCTAGTTTCTTTTTACCAAAGTTGCTGATCTTTTACTTCCCCCAAGGAATTGGAACATAGTTTATTGATCCTCACGTCAGAAAAATGTTCATTTGAGAAGATAACTATTATACATTTTTTTAAATTTCTATTCTCAATTGTATCTTTCCACACGGAGGCAGACTGATCAGTAAGCAAGGTACACACAGGCTTAATTGGGTTTATTTATTAATCTGTAGTACACAATTTTACATGAATTTCACAGCATCTTTGATGTGGTGAAAAACATGTGAAGCTGTGTACTACAGATTAGTAAGTAAGCACAAGTAAGCCTGTGCGTACCTTGCTTATTAGGTAATCTGTCCCTGCTTCCATACCTGGTTCTTAATGGCAGTGTTAAATATAAACTTTGTTCAATTCCCACTTCCCTCCAACATCTATTCTGTGATGCCACCAAAATCCAAAAATAAATTAACAGTTATCTTCTTAAATTTTGACATGAAGAAAGTAGAGAACTTATGAGTTATTAAGAAGAGAAATTTAATTAAAAAATTAGAAACAAAACAAAACAAAAAACCTCTCTTTACCAGTTAGCTCTCTTGCTAGGTTAGAAATTCTTACAATTTGTGAACTTTTCCTGATTAATAATTTACCTTTTCTAAGTATTAGTTTCAGAACACAGTTTTTCAATGTACCTAAAAGTACGGAATATATAATAAAAGTTGGAAAAGTATGCTAACAAACACTTGCACCAAGAATTTCTGTTCCCCTCCCAGAGGACCAACAATAACCAGACACTTTAAAAGAATATACTTCTCCTAACCCCTCAAATGAGAACAACTTTCCCCGCAGGCAAAAACCTCAGAGTGTCCATATTCCCAGTGAGGGCCTTCTTAATGAGACATTTTAATTGACATTGAATGGTAGGGTAGAGGGTGCAGTTTACAATTGTACTTCTCATTGCATTTTTTTCTGGTTTGAGGGGTGTTCTGAAGTAGTGGTTCGTTGACATGGTGGTCAGTGAACACTGCCCAGAAACCTCTTACAGGAAGGCATTTAAATAAGGAAGGAGCTAGAGAGTTTGACTGGAACAATTAGACCTGGCTCACCCCCAGAAGGGGGCGCACATGTATGCAGTCTAACCTGAAATCTGTCTCCACTGGACAGGCTATAACTAACCACCCTCATCTTCATACTTAAATAAAAATGAAAAAGACATCATTTGATGACTAAACAAGCACTATAACATAGTAAAATTGCACATTTGTGAATGAATTTAGCACTGCAAATCAAATTTCCCTTTCTGGACAACATATTATTTTATAATAATATATGTTTTCACCTTATTTAGGAATCAAAGCATTTGTGAAAATGAACCTAAGTGCATTCACTCTCTTGTTGGCATTAATCAGTAGTGCCAGTGGTTACTACTATGAGGATTATGATTACATCCCCCTGTCAATCTATGGGCCTTCATCGCCAAACTGTGCACCAGAATGTAACTGCCCTCCAAGCTACCCAACTGCCATGTACTGCGATGAGCTGAAACTGAAAAGTATGCCGATGGTGCCTCCTGGAATCAAGTACCTTTACCTTAGAAACAATCAGATTGACCACATTGATGAAAGGGCCTTTGAAAATGTGACTGATCTGCAGTGGCTCATTCTAGACCATAACCTTCTAGAAAACTCCAAGATAAAAGGAAAAGTTTTCTCGAGACTGAAACAACTGAAGAAGCTGCATATAAATTACAACAACCTGACAGAGTCTGTGGGCCCACTTCCCAAATCTCTGGAGGACCTGCAGCTTACTCATAACAAGATCAGGAAGCTTGGCTCCTTTGAAGGACTGGTAAACCTGACCTTCATCCAACTTCAACACAATCAATTGAAAGAGGAAGCCATTTCAGCTGCTTTTAGAGGCCTTAAATCATTGGAGTACCTTGACCTGAGCTTCAATCAGTTAACCAAACTGCCTTCTGGTCTTCCTGGTTCTCTTCTAACTCTGTATTTAGACAACAATAAGATCAGCAACATCCCGGATGAGTATTTCAAGCATTTTGGTGGACTGCAGTATCTTCGTTTATCTCATAACGAACTGGCTGATAGCGGAATACCTGGAAATTCCTTTAATGTATCATCCCTTTTGGAGCTGGATCTCTCCTATAATAAGCTTAAAAGCATACCAACTGTCAGTGAAAACCTTGAAAACTATTACCTGGAGGTCAATGAACTTGAAAGTAAGTAGAAAGCTGTGCCTGTTTTTGATTGATGCGTCATCAAGATTATAAAGGCCTCAGCTGTGCAATGCAAATATTGCATCTGGACCCATTTATAAATAAAAAATTGAAAATGCCAACAAAATATCCTCCTAACCGAAACATAGAAGAATTCTAGCACAGTAAATACATTTAATGTCTAACTTTTCTTTGGAGTGTCCAGATAAGGAACCATTAAGATCATGGAATTTAGTTTCTTTAAAAGTAATATTCTGTGTTTTCTCTTGATATTTATCAATTGTTATTTGCCTCATTTATGACTTAGATATGTGTCCTGCATTTATTTCTTAGCAAAGTCTTGCTGAGGAAGGAGCAAAAAAGTCCAGAAGAGGCCAGCTAGCAGAGGCTTTGACATCTCTCTCCGGCTTATCCCCAGAGCAGCGTCTGTATTCTTATGGTATTCCCTGATGTCTTTACTTGGGACCCAACATATTATTCTTTCCACATTGCTCTAACCACCACCTACCTCTGTTATCCGGGTGGCTGTGGCTTGTGTAACCTTTACAGTGCTCTGATGAGGACTGTGAGGAAGATTAAGGAGGGCAGAAATCTGATGAAGGGAAACAACAGCTCATTTTTAAACCCGTATTACAGAGCCATTTTTCTCACACAACATCTTTCCCCTCGTTTGATTTTTTCAGTTTCTCCTTCCCTTGTTTTGCTACAGTAGTTCATTTCTCATTTCTCTTTCCATGGGAGCTTGACCTGATCCTCTTGGACTGTTTATGCACTCTTCTAGGACCTTTTTCAATTTAAGCAATACAGGTTAAGGTGGAAAATTGAAACTGACCATTCCCCATGTTACTGTTTAAAAGAATTTGGCAGAAGAGAAAAGCCATGATTCATGGATAAATTGATTTTTGCATTTCATTTTTGAAATTAAAAACAGTTGGGAAACAGTGATTCACACATAAAATAATCATATATGCCAAATAATCTATTAAAATTGAACATTTTTATCTGACAAAAGTTGGGTCCCTTGTCATACTGTATAATGATATTGACATTGCTACCCAAAAAAAAATATATAGTGTGCCTTATGAATATGATACAGTTTCCTGTAACTCCTAGTTGGGTTGGGGTGTTCTAATGAAAGAAACTATGGTTGCCAACTCTGAAAAGCCACATGTTCTTTGTTATATCTGGACATCAGCCAAGGTAAGTGTTAGTGCTACTTGACTGTGACACAATATATAGTCAAGCTATCATAGCTGAACCCCTCAGTTGTTTCCAGAGAAACATTCGCTATGTGACAATATATGATCCCACATTGTAAAAATTTGTGGTTAAGAGGAAGGACACTCTAGCAGGCCAAAATGCCAAAGGAATTTAAGATGGTTCAGAATTGAAGAAATCTACCAGATATGGTAGGTAAGCCACAGGATCAGGGCTACTTCCTTTTCTGAGACAGAAAAGAGAGATACAGATACAGGCACATTTGGAAATATAAAGACCAGGCCTCCTATGAGTAAAGGATGGAACAGTCAGTGTGGGGAATGGTAAGAGTGGCCTATGGGAAAAATGCCAGCTGCCACTCTGTGCCAAGCTGAGATTGAAACCACAGTGTAACCATTTCAAAATCAGTAGTTACCTTTCTTCCTTCCTTCTCCTTGGCATTTGATCGGATATTCTTGTTGTCTTTCTTTGTGTTCGTCTCCTTAATTTAGGTTATTTTTCCAGATAATTATCATGCATATCAATTATCCACAATCTCTTAAAATAAAAAGAGCACATTGATGTTTCTTTAATATTAGGACATATATGTTGTTGTTGTTGTTAGGTGCCATTGAGTCAGTTCCAACTCATAGTGACCTATAGGACAGAGTAGAACTGCCCCATAGGGTTTCCAACGAGCAGCTGGTAGATTTGAACTGGCAACCTTTTGGTTAGCAGCCGAGCTCTTAATCACTAGAGCCAAAAACAATTTCTCATATTTCAAAATTGTGACTCTAAGCATTGATGAAATCACAACTCTTCCACATACAAATTAACATGGAAAAGAGAACAAATGAAAATACTGATTTAGGGTGGTACAGACGTTTAAGTGCTTAACTACTAGCTGAATGGTTGGAGGTTCAAACACGCCCAGTGGTGTCTCAGAAGACAGGCCTGGTGATCTGCTTTCAAAAGGTCACAGCCTTGAAAACCCTGTGGAGCATTTCTACTCTGCACTCATGAGGTCCCCATGAGTTGGAATCAACTCAACAGCAACTAACAATGACATATGATAGACACTGTAAAATGCTTTATATACTTTCATGTAACACTCTGAGATTAACAAGAACCTCAAATAAATGCTCCAAGGTCACCCAGCTGGTAAGTGGCAGAGATGGAATTCCAATATTTGCCTAACCCATGTTTTCTCCATTTTTCCAACATTTCTCAGAGGTTGGTGTCATAAGAAAGATCACTAGAATTATACTGATGAGATATTTAAGATAGCATCTTAAAGGAAAGGAGTACAGTGTGTTTGGGCTTCCATGGAGGTCTTTGTTAACTAGAGTTTGAGAATGAAAGATGACAACAAGCTAAAGAACCAGGCAAAGTTAATCTGAAACAGACTTGAGCAAACAGTGACAGTTTCTATATGCACATAGACAAGGCAATCCAGTAACAATCTTAGTTTTTCATTTGTGACAGCTTGATCACAAAAAGAATATGGCTCAGATGGTGGTCATTCCATGAATTGGTTTTTATCTTGGAGTTATCATTGTCATGGTAGGTTGGTGATGGAAGACTCTTTAGAGATCATCTAGCTAATTTTAATTTAATGAGCAAAAACCAAGATTATATTGGTGAGATTGTCCATACAATAGCATCAATCCTCCATTTCTTTAGGCTACAGTAAATATCTCAAAAGTGTTCTTAGATAATATCATACATTTATTGCCTTTCTAAAATTAATTTCTAATAATACAACAAATAAGTTATGTTTCTTTGAAGAAGTTCACTGAATATCCTGATCTACCATAGTTACTCTTTAGTAAGTGTTGTTATGCCACTTTATTAGCTGAAAATATGCTTTTAATAGTCCACAATTCAGAGATGCATAGTACAAGTGACCATTCTAAATGGAAATGGGTCCTATTAAACAGTATTATTCACTTGAGGAATATTTTGTCTTACTAATTGGTTTGAGTCAGTTGATCAAAATTCCTCATTCTCTATTTTTCAGAGTTTGATGTGAAGAGCTTCTGTAAGATCCTAGGACCATTATCCTACTCCAAGATCAAACATTTGCGTTTGGATGGCAATCGCCTCACCCATAGTAGTCTGCCACCTGATATGTATGAATGTCTACGTGTATTAAGTGAAATTACCGTGAATTGATATCTTCTAATTTCAGATATAGCGAAGTGTATCCTGAAGCAACATTTTATGGCTATGATTTCTTGTGTCATTTTTCATAGTATCGTTTTGTAATGTTTCTTACTTCTATGAATTTTAAATTTTGAGGGAAAATGTTTTGTAAACATTTTACCACTCGTTTTCTAGAGAAAAGATGAAAGGCAGGCCTATTTCATCACAAGCATACACACATACACACACATAGACTCCACACTTACCACTTTATTTGTAAATTTAGTATTTTCTAGATCACTTCTGTCAAATGCTATGTATAGCCTTTTATTGGTTGCATAGAAGTCAGCTAAGTTTTCTGATCTTTAAATCTTAATGTAGCAAAAAGCATGGACTACATATGGATGTTTTCTGTCTTAAACCAAATCATCTCAATATATTCAAATTTGTTTCACTGAAAAATAGATGGTATATTTTGAGACCAATAATTTTGCAAAATATTAGAAAAATTCATGAAGCCAGATACATTTAAAGAAGTATTTTTAGTATTAAAAACGTACATGCTTACCTAGTGAAATTTTTCTCTTCTACAATTATTTTTCACTCTAAGTCATGTGTATGTTTCTTTTTTGATTATTTGCATGTTATGTTTAACAAGCTAATAGCAAAATAAAACATAGCAAAAGGCATTACTGTGTTCACTTTTTTTGTGAAATGTGTTTCTCTTGTATATAAAAACATAAAAGAATAGAAGTCAAAAGATATCTCTAGCCTATAATATTTTACTGATGTTAACTAATTTCTTTGCTTCCACCATCCACTTGGAAAGAGTTTTTAAATACATCTTACAATATGTATTTATATTTCACAACTTGTTTGGTAATTTTCCATTACTCCCATTCCTGTTGTTTTTATAAAGGAGCCCTGGTGCCACAGTGGTTAAGTGTTTGGCTGTTAATCAAAAGTTCAGTGGTTTGAACTCTCCAGCTGCTCAGCAGGAGAAAGATATTGCAGTCAGCTTCCATAAAGATTACAGCCTTGAAAATCCCATGGGACAGTACTACCTTGTCCTATAGGGTCACTATGAGTTGGAATCAACTCTATGGCAACGGGTTTGGCTTTTTTTTTTTGTTCTTGTTGTTTTCACTGACTCATATGCCATTGCATAAATTAAATAAGAAACTGGTATAAGAACTCAGCAACCACCACTGGGTCATTGAGGAAAAATTGTAGAGAATTCCTAAGTTTGAAAATGTTGAATAACTAAGTTTTTGAAAATAAGACTTTACAAATCAGTGTATCTTGAAGTCAATACGTTTGGAACACAGAGTTTGATTTTATAATCTAGTCATAACAGCTCTCAGCTTTCTATACATAGGTATTAACTATTCAATACAATGGCAAATAGTAGGATACACAATTTAGAAAACTAACTTTCATTTTTCCTTGTTAACAAGAAATTCTATGTTTGGAGCAAAATGTCCAGTCAAAAATGTATTCATCTCGTATAAGTGTTTATATAGTGCCATATGTGTCTAGCACAAATAATATATCTCTCTAAAGATAATACATTTTAACAGAATATTTTTAGTGGCTCTATCTTATAATAAAAAGGCCTATCATCCAAGAACCATCATCAATTAAGACTGAGTTAGCTGGTAGATGTGTGAAAATGATGTTATATTAGATAAACCGGGTATTTTTGATTCTCATGTCTTTTGTACATAAAGGTAAGTTTCTTGAACTGTGATGTGCTTAAAGTCTCTAAAAGTATATTTCTTCTTCAATGAAACTATACTACAAAAGAAATGAAAATAAATTTCCCTTCTTTATAAGAATTCACCATCAATTCTTTGAAAAATACTCTTAAGTAAGTAGTAGAGGATGAGCCGTAAGATCTCTTTCACAAAGTATTTGGTGGACTTAAAAGAGCGTTGTCTCTTTATACTTAAGAAAAACTTCTCTTTCTTAGCTGAAGTTTAGATCCTAATAAGCCTTTGATTTATCTCTATCCAAAGTCTCATGTCATTCTTAAGTCTAATGGGCAAACCTATAACTATTAAAATAGTAATTCCCTTTGTAGTTAAGGTCAGTTGAGAAGAACCAAATTAAGCACAGACTGACACTTTCTTATCTCTTTATATTCCCCTTTCTCAAATAGCCTAAGATTTCTGATTGTAGAAGCATCTGAGAAAGACACTAGTTAGATTTTATTCTGAAATAGTTCCCTTTCCATGTGCTGGACTTCATCTCTCCATGCTATTCTGGAGACCAACAGCTTCCTGGACCAGATGATTTAGGATTCACATCGATTAAATTTTCAAAAGGGCACAGAGAGGAAATGATCAACAACAATGTGAATTTAGAACAGGAGGTTCTCTTGACCATCTCACTAATAACAAGGATTTTAATATTGTGCCTTTCTGAATAAACTGCCCCATAGATGGATTAAAGCAATGGTACAAATTAATTCCTTCTTTCTGAAAACTGACTCACTGGAGACTTAATTTTGTACTCTGATTTGGGGAGAAGATATGCAGAAAAATGGGGAAAAATCCCTCTTTGTTTTAGACATATGCACTTGAAAACCAGGGCTGGGCTCTTTATGGTGAAGGAGAACTATAATGTACTCAGGCTTTGAGGCTGTTGAAGAATTATCATGCCCTAATAAGTACAAAAAAAGACCACTAAATGAACCAGAGGAATGTTGATTTCTTAGTTAAAAGTTCTCCAACTGGTAATAGCTATGTTTTCAGAAATACTGGAGAGTTTAAAAGGTTGGTTTTACAAAGAATGATTAATTTTTTCCTTGTGATCTTTTCAGTTTTGAGTTCCAGTTTTTCCTACAACTGTAATTTTACCATAATGATGGCCTTAGATTTTTGTTTGGTTGGATTTTGCAACCATCAGAAATACTTGCTTAACATTTACTCACTAGTAGAAGAAAATGCTCATTTTTGTTTCAAGTGAACTCTTAAAGCAACTTTCCTGCCAAATCTAAAAATTTATATAAAGTAAAAATATTATAAAATTTAAAATGAACATGCCATAAGTATATGGAATAAGTGCAAATACATTTTTATAATATCTAGCAAGTTATATTTATTTATTCACTCACTCATTTAATAGATTTTGTTTTCAGATAAGGTATGAGAAGTTAAACTATAGCACATGTAGGGAAAAGTAGAAATTTAAGCAACATAAAATGAATGAGTTCTCATGCATGTTAAATTTTCTTTCATGCTCCAAGATTTCACTTCTACTGTGCAATAGATCCTTTTTCAAATTTTGGTTGGCCCAAATATTATCATATACCTGTGTGTCTTGCCTAAAATGTACCTATCATTCTGTGAAAGAGAAAACATTTTATGTTTTAAAAATGTTCAAGAGCCTTAACGATCTGATCCTATGGATTCTCTTTATTATCTCTCAAATCCCCACCCATGCCCACTCCCACTGCTTTTTTCAAGACTTGTTGAATTTTCACCTCAATTTCTGAAAGCTCTTATGTGTCAACTTATCAGAATGAGTTTTCGGATATATAAATGTGGTCCTTTACTGTTTACCTGATTAATTATTCAATAACGTAAGGTTGCATTCAAGATGTAATCACTGCAGCATACGCTGTATCCCAGGATGTCAAAGGCCCTTTGTGATATGATCCTGATTTGCCTCTTGAACCTCTTCTTTTGCCATAATTTGCCAGGCCCCACTATGCATCATATCAAGTTGCTTGAATTGCTTCAACCGTGCTTACTAGTTCGTAGCTGATTATGTTCCAGTGCCTATGAAAACTGTGCTTCTTTCCTAGAATTTCCTCTACCTCTTCCACTTGGAAACACCAACATATCATTCAAGATTCACCCTAGGAGGCAGGCCAAGAAGGTGGAGTAGTCAAATGCTTCCGGTGGACCCTCTTACAACAAAGACCCAAAAAAAACAAGTGAATCAATTATATATGACAATCTAGGAGCACTGAACATCTAAGGCAAAGTTCAGGAACCGGACTGAGTGGCAGAGGGAAGGAGAGACAATTTGGAAGCAGCCAGGAGTTGCAAGACCTGACCCAGTGCGAGCCTGAGCCCATCAGGCCTGAGCAGCTCATGGGTGAGTGGTGAGGCAGGCAAGCAGTGCTGCTCGGGAGGCGTATTCCACACTGGGAGAGACCCAGCTGCACAGAGTCTACTCAGCCACCCAGAACCAGTGAGAAGCAGCTCTAGATTGGCAGAAGATGAGTACTTGTGTACAGCAGACTGTCCAGATCAGAAACACCCACCCTAGGGAAAAACCTCTCTCCCATTTACCTCCCAGTTCCCTGTCCTGCACTGGGTCCTGAAATGGCTTCGGCAATCTCCGAATCCCCCTGGGCCGGAAATAGGATCCGTCACACACCCTGAGCCATTCTCCCAGCCTTGAAGAGTGAACAAATTAACAAACAGGGGAAAAAATAAACTGCCAGCTCCCCTAAGCCAGGAACCCAGGGTAGGCACAAGTGTTTTGCCTAAGCACAGGCATAAGGGATCCATGGACTCTGAGTGCCTTTCGCCCTGCATAGACTTGTGTGGGCCCATTTCAACAGCGTAGGCCTTCATTACTGCAGTACAACAGGGTATATACCTGAAGCCTAAATTGAACTGTTTCAGCTGTGAAGTGACAGGTTAGTGACATATGACACTGCTCTGCCCATTAAACTGGGTCTTCACCTACCCACATCAGGGGCCTGAGGACTGGTGGCTCCACCCATGCCACCTAGCCACTTGCAATAGGGGCCCAAGAATAAGGCATGCACCCCCAGTCCTCACAGCCAACAGCACTGAGTGCTCATAGTCCAGCTGTAAAAACCACCCACCTATACACTCTAGGGAACAGGGACACATCTTCCTCCTGGACACTCGAGGGCAGCTGTCAGCCCCCTGCCTTTCTCAGAGTGTGTTCCCCTGCTGCAGCCAGTTGCCTGTGCCTACACCAATCACCCATGCCTGTCTAAGACTATAGGTGAGAGGCTACACCACACACTTGGTGGCTATCTA